ATTCTAGGTTTAAAGTTGATTTCATTCTTAATAGTTGAATATACTTTAAATATGTTGACTATCATCCCAGAGAATATGTAAATATATGTAAAAAGTGAAGTAATAGTTTAATAGTATAATCTTTGAACTGAACTGTTGTTGTTAAGTGTCATTGAGTTGGTTCAGACTCAGAGGTGATGAGGAGCTATTAGTGGGTTTGAACTGCCCAACCTTTTAGTTAGCAGTCCAGTGCTTATCCTACAGAGCCATGCCAGGACCCAATAATAATATGGTGAATAATGTAATAAAAATAAATACTTTTAAGTATACCTTATTTTATGCCAAACATATTTATTCGGTGTCTATTAACAACAACAACAACAACAACAACAATGATATGGTGCTGTAGGATAAGCACTGGACTGCAAGGTCGGTTTGTATCACAAGGTTGGTGGCTCAAACCCACCAGTGGCTCCTTGGAAATCCTAAACAGGCTCGCTATGAGTAGGGAACTTGCTTGATGACACTTAACAATAACAATAATGCTATTTCAAAGGAGCCCTGGTAGTATAGTGGGTTACACATTGGCCTACTAACCACAAGGTTAGCTGTTTGAATCTACCTGTGAAAGAATGATGAGGCTTTCTGTTCCTGTAAAGATTTATAATCTGGGAAACCCTATAAAGGGTTGCTATGAGTCAGTATTGAGTTGACAGCACATTACCACCACCACCATCATGATAGTTCAGATATCATGTGGTTTATGTACAGGTTCCTCAGGAGCACAATTAAACGTTCTGGAATTCTCATTCTTCGCAAGGTTATCCACAATTTGTTATGATTCACACAGTCAATGATTTTGAATACTCAATGAAACAAAGGTAAACATTTTTGTGGTGGTTTCTGCTTTTAGCTAAGATCCATCTAACATCAGCAATGATATCCCTCATTCCAGGTTCTCCTCTAAAGCTGGCATGAATTACTGAAAATCATCAAACAATTATCACATGCAAGTAAAACTTTCCTGAAGATAATTCACAAATGGTTGCAGTAGCACATCAACAATTATCTTTAAGTCATACTTTATACATTATACACCCACATTATCACTGGATATTTGCAGCTGTTTTGTTTTTTTTTTCATTTTGGGTTGTGCCACATCATCAAATGAAGAGGTCATATTTGAGGTCAACATTTGAGGAGGCAGCTCTTCCCCAGTCGCAGTTTGAATGGCTTCCATCCTGAGGGGCTTATCTTCCTGTTCCATACCAGAAACATCTGCTGCTACTCAAAATGTTTACTGGCCAATTTTTTAAGAGGTCAACTGCCAGGTCATGATTCCTAGTCTGTCTTAGTCTGGAAGCACCACTGAAGCCTGTCTAACCTGTGTGACCCTCCTGGCATTGGAGTTACTGGTGGCCTCGCTGCAAGCATCAGAGCACCATGCAGACAACTACAGGGTGTCAAACTGACAGATGATGCCGGTACACTGGGCTTGCATAATCACTGCCTCTTCTCTGTGGAAATCCCACTTATGCATACAAAACATAAACCATTTTAAATGATTTTTTTAAAAGATCATATATTAGTCTTTTTTGAGTTCATAAAATTTCAAGAATGGGTTTGAAAACCATGTTATGGCGATAGATTTGTTTTGTGATTTTTAAACAGTCTTGGGAAAAGGGTAGGAATGAGTGGAGACATTTTAAAAATAACTTGTTAACTGGTAGAAATTCCGAGCTTCTTGGGAGTTTTGCTCTTAGTAACCATAAATGTTTTGCAATAAGTCCCCGTGACAGAAGAGCAGACAATAGTGTTTTTTCACAGGACTGACTCACAATATAGAGGGATTTTTTTTTTTTTAAATAAATTTAACCCCATAAGGAAAGATGAGATACATAATTCACAAACAAGCCCAATACCTCAGAGTGTTACCTGTTGTGCTTCCTTTAGGTAGTCTTGAAGTCTTGGTGTGGTGCTCTAGGATAAGCACTGAACCACAAGGTTGGTTTGAATTGCAAGGTCTGTGGTTCAGATTCACCAGGTGCTCCTCAGAAACCCTATACATGCTCAGTATGACTCTAACGGCACACAATAACAACAACAAACATGGGATTATGGAGCCTTCGAGCTGAACCCAGTTTAGAGACCAGCTACCATCTTCATTTTATAGATGAGACCATTAGGACAGACAGGCAGGTTACTCAACCAAGTCTTCATAGCTTGACATTGTCAGAGAGGGACGCTGAGGTCAGCTTCCTGGCGCAGTGTTTTGTTTTTTTGTGTGGCATCATTTTGCTTATGTTTATTGGGTTTTGTCCTTCAGACCACTATGGACCGGTCAGTTTTACAGCAATACAGACTGCGTCTTCTCTGTGGCTCGATTTTCTTAGTAAATGATGTTTGATTGTATGATAGCTCCTAGAAGGTGAAGGATTCTTCCTTGGATTAACTAGCACTGAATCTTTCCTTATCAAATCTTTTGTCATAAAGTCAATTCCAACCCAGAGGGTTTCCAGAAGGCAGACTGCCACATGTTTCTCCCATGGAGTAGCCCGTGGGTTTGAACTGCCAACCTTTTGGTTAGTAGGGGAGCACTTTGATCACTGTGCTACCAGGTCTATGTGAAAGTGAAGGCTAATGTGTCCCTTTGTTCTCATTTGTTTTTCCTCTTTTAGTAGACAACTAGTATCAGCGCAGTGGTCCTGTACAATAAACACTAGACTGCGAACCACAAGCTCAGTGGTTTGAATCCTCCAGCTTCTCTGTGGGAGGAAGATGAGATTTTCTGCTCCCACAAATATGCACAGCCTCAGTAATCCTATATAGGGTTGCTATGAGTTGGAACCAACTTGAAGGCACTGAACAACAATAGCAAGTATCAGCTTAGTCAAGATTCAATCAACTGAGGGATATAGTGTAAGACTTCTCTCTCTCTTACTCTCACACTGTTTTTAGGTTATTCCCAGCAGGCATTAATTTCCTGACAAGAGGGTGCTTGATCTTCCTAAAGCGGTTAGGAATAAATTTCATTCCCCTGCCCAGTTCTTCCAACTTTCTTGGTTTTACCTGTTCAGCTCCAGAAAACCAATAATCTTTCATATCTTGTTTCGGATTTTAACCTTCCTAGAGTCCTGTGGTGCTGCAGGATAAGCACTGGCCTGCTAACCACAAGGTTGATGGTTCAAACATACCAACTGCTCCTTGGAAATCTGATACAATGTCAGTATGAGTTAGAAGCAACTCAATGGTACACAACCATCACAACAATCTACCCCAAATAGGAGACTGGAAGAATCACTCAGGAGGGAGGGGAGACAAGTATTGGGTTGTTGCTGTTGTTAAGTGTCATCAAGTTAGTTGCAACTCATAATGACCTTGTATAGGGTTTTCGAGGATTGACTGGTGGGTTTGAACCACTGATCTTTCAGTTAGCAGTCCAGTGCTTATCCTACAGTGCCACATCAGGACTGTGGGGTGTTAAATTCTTTATTCCTTGTCTTAGAGGGTTTCTATTTACACACTGTTGCCACTTCCTGTGGCATTTCTGGTTGGTGCAAATGGTTAGCAAGTTAGCTGCTAACCAAAAGGTTAGAGGTTCAAGTACACCTAGAGGCTTCTCTTAAGAAAGGTCTGATGATCATCTTCCCCCCAAAATCAGTAACTGAAAATTCTGTGGAGCACATTTCTGCCCTGACACACAATGAGTAATCAGGAGTTGTTGTTAAGTGCTGTCAAGTCGGTTCCAACCCATAGAGACCCTGTATAGGGTTTCCGAGGAGCAGCTGGTGAGCTTGAACCACCAACCTTTCGATTCAAACAGCTTTGCAGTCTGGTGCATTGACCCACAGTGCCACCCCAATCAGGAGTAGGTTGGGTCTTTTCCTTTAAGCTCTCTCCTTTGCTCTGTCTTGCATATCCCTTCAGAGGTCCCGTCCTGGTCAGTAATGATAACAAAGCCAGGGACTGCCTCTAAATCCTCCTCGTTTTCCCTGGTAGGGTGGGGGTGGTGGGACTCATCTCCTCAAATACTTAGTGATGAAGATTTGGACCAGATTTCCAAGCCAGGTTGTTTTGGCCACATTTGGTCTGTCTGGTGCTTAGTGGTGCATAGTGGCTGAGAAGGGAGATTCTGGAGTCAGAAGGTTGAATCCTGCTTCCAGGAACTACTTTGGCAAATTACTGAACCTTCATCACCAAAAAGGGAGTGCTTTGTAGGATAAGTACTGGACTGCAAATCACAAGGTCAGTGATTTGATCCCACCAGCTGCTCTGCAGAGAAAGACGAGTCTTTTCTACTCCTGCAAAGATTCACAGCCTGCAAGTAAACTAAAAAAAGAGAACTCTATAGGATTGCTGAGTTGGAACTGGCTTGATGGCACTTAACAACTTCATCATGAAGCAGGATAATAATAGTAACTTACCTCTGTAGATTTGTTGTGAGGATAGCAAGTACTTAGAAATTGTTGTGAGGATTGATTGTGCTTAGTCCTCATGTGGTATTGCAGAATAATGTGCTGGACCGCAAGGTCAGTTTGAGCCACCAAGTCAGCAGTTCAAACCACCAGTTGCTCCTCGGAAACCTTATACAGGGTTGCTATGAGTCAGAAGTGACTCAATAGCACTTAGCAACGATAACAACAACAGTACCTAGCCAGGCACACAGATATGGATTGTGCGTTGTTCTTGTTAGTGTCCCAACCAGAACTGACTACTCTATGCCAGCCTGGGTTTGGGGGTTGGCAGAAGCTGGTTGGCTTTTGAGTTTAAGGTGTGTGGATTTTAGGACCTTGGTTGACTGTCACTGGAAATAAACATTTTATGATCACCACTGCCCCCACCCCCAACAAGCATAAATTGCAAATGAAATAATAAAACAATATACTTTTCCTCTTGTTTCATTTCAAATTCAGGTTCAGTTTGGACTACCATTTCACGGGGTACCTATGTGCTAAGCATTGTACTTAGCACATCTCCATATACCTTTTTCCACTATAAGTTTACTTGTTCTTACAGCAACCATGAACTCCAGAGTACTGGGAATCTGCCATTAATCTCCTTACACAATAATAGAAGTGGCAGGAGATGTTTGAAAAAGCTGGCATAAAACTGGATAGAGGTTAGAACACAAAATGATCTTGTGGGAAAAGAGCAAGGTTTGCTCAGTCAGATCCTAGTACTAGTATCACATCTAACACTTAGGTATTTTACTCAGGATAACTAGCTGAACTTCTCTGAGCTTCATTAGTAACATGGGAATCTTAATACTCTCCCACAGATGGTTAAAGGGAAAAAGGAAACAAATCACCTTGACATGGTAGTGCCTCAACAAATATTAGACTCATTTCTGCCTGTTTGGACTAGAATCCACCTTGTTTTGAGCCAGGATAAAATCCTATGTTCCATACATCAGTTCTGAAAGCCCTAGCACAAGTAATAAGACATACACACGTTCAGAATAAATGGTGATACAGTCTTCTTTTTCTTTTTTAACAGGTACCTGGATATGGTGAAGAGGGGAAGTTTAGTGGATACCTGAAACCCATGGTATTTTCAATTTATGAAGGCCAAGAACCGAATCAATTTATCTTCCAGGTAATGGCTACCCCTGAACACTGCTGACTTGATTCCACATACTCTCTTCTTGGACTTTCCCCCCTTATCTCACTGTAGAGCAGGAAATAAAATAAAGGCATGGCATATCTTGTTATCAGGGATGATTGCAGAAGCTAAGTTCAACAGAGAAATGGGACAGGCATCCTCATGCAAGATTTTCTTGTCTCCTGGACAGGTAGCTTCATACCTACCTGTAGACGCCACTGTTCATCATATCACAGATTCTTATCTTGCTCCATAATCTACAGAAAATTTTTTTAAAATGATTCTACCAAGTTTAAGAAGCTCTGGTAGCATAATCGTTACGAATCGGGCTTCGAGCCCCAAGGTCAGCAGTTCAAAACTACCAGCTGTTTCACAGGAGAAAGATGAGGCTTTCTGCTCCCATAAAGATTCACAGCCTCGGAAACCCTGTACAGGGTCGTTATGAGTCAGAACTGACTCCACGGCACATAACAACAACAACAATCAAGTTTATGTTCAGTGCTCATGGAAGCAGCAATTAAAAAGAAAAAATCAAATGACATATTGCATTAGGCAAATCTGCTACAAATGACCTCTTTAAAATGTTCAAGTGCAAAGAAGTCAGTTTGAGGACTAAGGTACACCTGACTCAAGCCATATTTTCAATAATCTCACATACATGTGAAACTTGGACAAATTTAGGGTAAATTCTGTGGAATAATGGTTGTTATCAGTGGCTACAAACATTTTGTGTCTCACGTTATTCCAAAAGTCTTGTACTATTTACATTTCTATCTGCAATATATGCATTTCCTTATATCCTCACCAACACTGGCTATTATTGTGCTTTGCATTATTAATTTTTAAAATGATAAAATGGTAATAAAATGGTCATTGTTTTAATTTTCTCTTATTATTGAGACTGAATCATTTTTATGTCCATTTTGTGTAAGTAGTCTAAGAGTGCTATAACCATCCCATGAATGGTGATTGGTGGATACTTTCTTTACTTTTGAAAAAGTAATTAGGAAATTATCATATAATGTCTTATCAAATTGAAGCCACTTTTAAATTGTTTTCTTTAATATTAAATTAAAATGTCTCTAACCTTGTCACAGTTTTTAGAAATATGAAATGACATTTTTTTAAGCCTAGCAACAAATCTGCACTTAAAATTTAGTAATTTCATGGCTTTTGGATATCCCCAGAAAACCTCATCTAATGTCAGCTTCAATTTAAAGCCTCATTTGGCTTTTGTTAATATATTGAGTTATATTAGACATAGTTTTGTAAGGAAAATGTATTTTGAGTGTTAAATAGTTCACTTACAAGCAAAGCTTTAGAATGTATCACTTTAAAAGCCGAGGACATCTTATTTAGCAATCTTCCAAATGAAAACTTTACCTGAAATGTGTGACTTTAAACAATTCCCACAACTTTGTTTTCCCACATTGTCTTAATTATCTAGTGTTGCTATAACATAAATGCCACAAGATGAAGTCTTTAACAAACAGAAATTTATTTTCTCACAATTTTGGAGGCTAAAAGTGCAAATTGAGAGTGCAAATTTAGCTCCGGGGAGAGGTGCAAGTTAACACATATTTTGGTGGTGGTGACGGTGGTGGTTGTGTGCCATTGAGTCAGTTCTGTGTAGGGTTTCCGAGGCTGTAAATCCTTATGGGAACAGAAAACCTCATCTTTCTCCCATGGAGCTACTGGTAAACTTGAGCTACTGACCTTCCGGTTAGTAGCCCAACACATATTTTGGAGACACACAATTCAGTCTATTATATTTTATATTCTAATCTCATTTTTGCTTTTTCTCAGTTTAAATCCAGACCTCCTGCTGTGAATTTCAGACTAACTGGGGACATAGATGGAATCTTTAAGATAGAACCGGATGGGTTTCTGTATTATACCAAAGCCCTGGACAGAGAAACAAGAGCTGTTCACCATCTCCAGGTGAGCTGAAACAGAGATCTACCTCCAACCTCGCTGAGCTCCACTTTGTCCTGGAAGCATCACTGGTACCTTCGCTATGAGTAGGAACTGACTTGATGGCAGTTAGCAACAACATGAGAGGCATGCCATAACCTTTCTGACCAAAGTAACTCAATTAACATCACTAAGACCTTTACATGGCATTGCTTATCCAAGTATGACCATGCTCAGCACATTAACCTACATCAAAACTGGGGCAACATTTTTGATACTTCACTGGACTCTCTTGTGACTATCATGGTGACTCTGGACCCACAGAGAAGGTAGTGTTGATGTTCGTTGGAGCTCTTTTAGGCCCTGTAAAATGCAGTAAGAACCAATGGTCACTTTGCTTCTTTTCCCCTTAGCTTTCATCTAAACAGCCAGCGATGGTAGACAGCTAATAGGAGGAAAGCATGCCAACAACATCTTGTCTGGTACCTGCTGCTATTGGCACTACAGACTGGCCACCAAATGGTTCTAGAAGAGGACATGTACTTCCATAGCCTCACTGTCCAAGTGTGCTCACGTCACTGACTAACCATTTAGAACAGAAGGCTGTCCAGTGTCCAGCATAACACACTGTGGGAACATCAGTCACAGTTAACCAGGCTTAACTGATAGGCCCCCTAATAGAACAGCACCCATTAACAGTTTAAAAATGGTTTATTGTGATAAAAACAGAGAGGAGCTCTGGTGGCACAGTGGTTAAGTGCTCAGCTGCTCACTGAAACGTTGGTAGTTTGAACCCACTAGTCACACCAAGCAAGAAAAATGTGTCTGTCTGCTTGTGTAAAGATTGTAGCCTTGGGAACCCTGTGGGGCAGTTCTATTCTGTCCTATAGGGTTGCTATGAGTTAGAATTGACTCCATATAGCTTTTGGAGTTAAATATACATACGTGTGTGTGTGTGTGTATATATATATATACATACATATAACAAAAAGTTTGCTTTAAAAAAACACAACAGTTATAAGTGTACAATGCAAGGACATTAATTGTTTTCACTGTGTTTTACTATAATCACCACTACCCATTTCTAAAACTTCAGATCACCCCAAACTGAAACTCAGTCCTTCTTCAACAAGAACTCTTGTGACCTCCTACCCAGTGTTTGGTAACCACTAATAAACCTTGGTCTCTATGCATTAGTCTACTCTAAATATTTCATATATCTGGGACTTTGTAGTACTTGTCATTGTATGTCTGATTTATTTCACTCAGCATAATGCTTTTAAGGTTCAGCTATGTCATTGAATGTATCAGAACTTCTGATTAATATTCCTTTGTATTTATATACCATTTTTGTTTTTCCAGTCTTCTGTTAGACATTTGGATTGTTTCTATCTTTTGGTTATTAGATTCTCTGCTTTCACTCTTCTGAGTATGTAATAATGAGTAGAATTACTAGATTACATGGAAGTTCTATGTTTAAACTCCTTAAGGAAACAAACTATTTTCCACAATGGATGTACCATTTTACATCCCCACCAGCAATGCACCAAGATTCCAATTTCTTCACATTCTTGCTAAAATGTATTTTGCATTTTTCTTATAATAGTCATCCTAGTGGGTATATGGAGTTGTGGTGTGGTGCTGCAGGATAATGTACTGCACCTCAAGGTCGATTTGAATTACAAGGTCAGTGGTTCAAACTCACCAGTTGCTCCTCGGAAACTCTGTATCGGGTGACTATGAGTCAGAACTGACTCGACGGCACTAAACAACAAGTGGATATATGGACTCCTGGTGTGGTGGTATAGGATCAGCACTGGACTGTGAACCACAAAGTTGGCAGTTTAAACCCATCAGCTGCTCCTTGGAAACCCTCTACAGGTTCTGACTTGAGTCAGTACTGACTTGACGGCACTTGACAACAACAAATGGGTATATGGGGCTTTTGTGAGATGTCTTTCTTCCCAATAGTCACTGTTGTTAAGTGCCATCTAGTCGGTTCCAACTCATAGAGACCCTGGTAGGATTTCCAAGGTGCAGCAGCTGAGTTTGAACCACCGACCTTGCAGTACAGAGCTTATCACAAGACCACAGGTTCTTAGAGCACTAATTTCCTTCAAGTGACTTTTGAACAGATGCTATAAGGTCCAGTATCATCAGTGTGCTTTCCTTTTCTCTGCACATCAGGTTGCAAGTCTGGATGCCCAGGGAGTTACAGTGGAGGGCCCAGTCTCTATCACCATAGAAGTGAAGGACATCAATGACAACCGACCTGTGTTTCTCAAGTCAAAGTATGAAGTCTCCGTGAGGCAGAATTCTCGTCCAGGTAATATGCAGGAGCCTGAAGATACTAATAGAAAGGTGAAAAGGTATCAGGTAGAAGGGGTATTTTTATGTGGCTAACAGTAACAGTTACCATTTATTAAGCACTTAATATCTTAATTAAGGAGTCCTGGTATGGCACTGTGGGTTAATGTGTCAGACTGTAAAGTTGTTTGAACTGCAAGGTCGGTGGTTCAAGCTCACCAGCTGCTCCTTGGAAACCCTATACAGGGTTGCTAGGGGTTGGAGTCAACTCGACGTCACTTAATAACAACAACAGCAACAATCTTACTTAAGGAATTTCTGGGTGGCCCAATTGGTTAACTGAAAGGTTGGCGGATCTAATCTACCCAGAGCCACCTTGGAAGAAAAGCATCATGATCTGCTTCTGAAAAAGCAATTATTGAAAACCCTATGTAGTGTATGTATTTCTACTGATAATGGGTTTCCATGAGTTGGAATTGAGGTGATAGCAACGGGTTTGGTTTGTCTTATTTAAATTTCCCAGTGGTCTTCTGGGAGTTGTTATATTATTGCTATTACCCTAGGGCAGGGATTCTCAACCTTGGCATTATTGACTTCTTGATCCTGAGAGTTCTTCTTTTTTGGTCAAGGGCTTTCCTTGGCAATGTAGTACGTTTAGCAGTATCCCTGACCTCTACCCACCAGATGCCAGTATCTGCTCCTAACCCCCCAAATCACGACAACAAACATTTCTTCAGACATTACCAAATGTTTTCTGGGTAGGTGAGGGGTGGATAAAATCACATCTTTAGGGTAGAAATAGGATTAGAATTGATGGGAAAGGGAGGCGTAAGCTCGCTGTCCTGTGGTGTCCTTCCAGGAGCCTACATTCTCAGGGTAACCACAGGCTCTCAGTTCTTTCTTTCATTTCACGTTGAATTCACAGCCATGGCTCATTCTTGTTCTATGTTGCATTGACCTTCTTCCTTGATTTCCATAAAAGTCCCTCACCAAGGTATATGTGTGTGCAACAGGCTTGACTGAAGATTTGAGTAAATGAAATGCCACATCATAGTAGTATATAAAATAAAAACAAATGTTAGACTTCTGAGATCTTTGGAAGACTCTGGCCATTTCCACCAGCTCACTGTCAAACTTCCTTCTATGTTAATTAATCTTCTCTTTTTCTCATTCTCCAATGCCCACTTTCGATAACTGAAAAAAACTTCCTTCTGCTTTATTATGCCAAGTAATATCAGTTCTATCCCTGTCCCTGGGGTAGCATATCAGAGATTTACTAATGAACTCGGCTAAATAAGAATTCTTCTCTAGACTTACTCTTTCTCTCTTTGTACTCTTAAAAAGGCATGAGACTCCCTTATTCTGTTAAAAACTATTGAGGACTCCAAAATTCTTTTGGATATGTGTGTGGTGTGCTGAAAACTGCCAATAATTCTCTGAAGGGAAAAACCCTGATGTGTAGCATTTGCCAGTTTCATGGTGTAAATCCTCCCACGATAGCTATTTCAAGCTACCAGTGGTTTAACAGTGGGCTTGAAAATTTTCTGAGAATTTAATAATTGATTCTCATGAGTTGGCTGTATATCTCAATACATACCATGTTAAAATGTAAACATATTTATTCATTAAAATAATAATATATTTTTATGAAAAAGCTTAGAAAAAACTATATTTTCCAAAGAAATTTAGTGAGAAGAATGACAATGTTTTAATTTTTAAAAAATATCTTTAATGTCTGGATTAATACAAAATAATTGGATTCTCAGGTCTTTCTACATTCATTCTGATGTCATATGCTATTTTGGTTGAAGAATATGAAGAAAAGCTAGGTTTCATACATTTACAGTTGGAAAAGGAAGGCAAATTTTAATAGCAGTAACAGATAACTTTGAATTAACTATACCAAAATGTGACAAGTAGTGATTTCTTAAAGATCAGTGGCATTGTCGAATCTAAAATGGTATCAATGACATGTTTTATATTCCTTTATACCAAAATCTATAGGATCACCTTGTACTTCGAGTGGATTTTTCATGCATGTATCATTTTTTACTATTCCTAGAAGTTCTTGGACCATGTTTTGAGAAGCTGTTTTCCGAGAAGGTGGGGGGAGGAGTATAGATTTATTTCTCCACTTATGTGAATATGGCACCTTCTCCCATTCTATCATTACCCCTTTGAAGTTCACTGTTTGGGTCTTAATTAACATTTTTTCTGGGTACTTTTTGTTAAACAGGGAAGCCCTTCTTGTACGTCAATGCTACAGACTTGGATGATCCTGCCACCCCCAATGGCCAGCTTGTTTATCAGATTCTCATCCAGCTTCCCCAGGTCAACAAAGTCATGTACTTTCAGATCAACAACAAAACAGGGGCAATCTCACTTACCCCAGAAGGTAAGTCAAGGGTTGTCCTTATTGGACCATCTGAGTCAGAAAAAAAGGACCTTTGTCTACATCACCATTAGAGATAACTGTTTTCTTCTCCCCTGCTTCCCATAGGATCTCAGGAGTTGGATCCTGTTAAGAACCCTTCCTACAATCTTCTCATCTCAGTGATGGATATGGAAGGCCAGAGTGAGAATTCCTTCAGTGATACCACATCTGTGGATATTTTGGTGAAGGAGAATATTTGGAAAACACCAGAACCTGTGAAAATTGAAGAAAACTCAACTGAGCCTCACCCCATCAAAATCACTCAGGTAATGCTCATAAAGTACCCAGAGCCCACTAGTTAAATGCCTTCACTTTGTAGAGAACCATTCTCATAATCTTTACTAACACATTTATTATGTTTT